AGGTTGCAGCTGCAGCAGGTGAGACGTGAGCAAGCATTGAGGGAGAGGGAGCCACTCGGTGGGTGCGAGACACGAGGACAGGCAGATCTCAGTGAAATGGGGAACCTTTGGAGAGTTCTGAGAAGAGGACAGACATTTGTTTTATTCTTATTTAATAGTAGGCTAATTTTGGACAGGCTTATCTGGCCTCTTGCCCTGAGATGCAGCAGGTGCCGGGCAGCTGGATAGGGCAGATGAGAAATTAATTGATTCATTTGGGGCGTTGGATCTGAGATCCTGGTAGTTGTTCAGGTGGAGGTGTGGAGCAGCAATGGGCACCGGAGCTGCAGGAGGGAGACATGTTCCTAGCTTTCCTTTTCTCCCCCTTTGGAAGAGGCTACAGGGTGGGACGTTGGTGTCCAACACAGCCGCGTCCCAGGAGCAGCTCAGCCCTCAGCCAGTGGGGCTGCAGCCCTTCCCTTCCTTCCCCGGTGACCTGTGGGGGCCGAAAGGTCGGCTCGGTGCAGACACGCCTGGATCGCAGCTGCCATGGCGCGGCAGGGGTTGCAGCAGCGCGTTTGTGTCCTCACAGGGAGCACCTCCTCCTCGGCCCGGGCCCAGCGGTCTGCACCCCAAGCGCAGCATGTTCTCTGAGCAGGCTGCCCAGAGGGCCCGCACGCTGCTGTGCCCGCCGTCAGCCAGCAATGCCACCTTTGCCCGTGTGCCCGTGGCGGCGTACGCCAACACCTCACAGCCCTTCCGGCTGGGGGAGCGCAGCTTCGGCCGGCAGTACGCCCACATTTATGCCACCCGCCTCATCCAGACGAGGCCCTTCCTAGTGACCCGGGCCCAGCAGCGGTGGGGTAAGTGACCCGTGTGGGGACGGGCGGCCCCCTCCCAGCCCAGAAGGTGCCTGGGGTGCCTGCGCGACCTGGGGGAACTGGGACCTTCCGTTTATCCTGCTGCCAGTAACCCTGGGGAGATCAGCCTCTCTAAGCCTCTGTGTCTCCTTCAGGTAGTTCTGAGGGTCAAATGAAGGAGGTGCTGGGTGTGAAGTCAGGTTTGGCGCAGTGGCTGGGGCGCGGCAGGGCCTACTTCCGGCGGGGACAGTGACGCTGCACTGGCACAGGGAAGCGTTCCCGCCCTGGCTCCGTTGGCACCAGGCATGTGTGTCCAGGGCTGGCGCCTGCCTCACCTGGTTCTGAATTGCGCTGCCCCGCTCCCCAGCTGCGGGTCTGTGGCGTGTTCTCGGTTATTCCAGGCAGGCGGGGCCGCCTGACAAAGCCCTGGGCCCTCGGCGACTCGCACCCTCCGTGCCTCAGTCACCCCCAGGAGCCAGCCTTGTTCTCGTGCGTCCCTGGTGCTTACCCTGTGGTGTCCCGGGGCCCCGGGCACCCCAGCTCTACAGGGAGCAGGACGGGGTGGGTGGGGGTGTGGTTTGATTTGGGGGGATCTCTGTTTCCAGAGGATGTAGCATTTGTGGGGTGTTTAAAAGAATCCAAACTCTTAAAGGAACAGGGCTGTGTCGAGACACGGCAGACCTCTCTCTAGGAATCAGTGCGATGATTTAGCTGTGAGCGAGGTGACAGTCCATTGTCCCCCGTGGCTGCGGTAACAACAGCCACGAACTGGGTGCCTTAAGCCGACGCCGGTTCCCTCCCAGCCGTGCGGCCGTGAGTCTGAGATGCCGGTGTCGACAGGCCTGCACCCGCACGAAGGCTCCAGGGGAGGGTCCTTCCCGCCGCTTCCAGCTCCTGGCGTTCTGGGCTCGGGGCCCCGTCGCTGCGGTCTCGGCACTGTCCCCGTGTCGTCTTCCGTGCACGTCTGCCTCTCTTAGGAGGACCCACCCCGGGCCCACCCCCCTCCAGCAGCCCCGTCATCCTGGGGCTGAGGGACCCTGAAGGCCCAGGGGCCCGGCGCCCTCGGCGCCCTCTCCCTGCAGCAGAGGCGGCCCTGGGCGGTCGTGCCCGGGGGACCCTGGGGCGGTGCCCGGGGGCGGGGCCGGAGGGCCGCCCGGCTTCTGAGCCCCTGTCCGCGTGCCCAGGAGGCGGCGTCCGCGTAAGGAAGCTGTGTGAGCTGCAGCCCGGGGAGAAGTGCTGCGTGGTGGGCACGCTCGCCAAGGCCATGCCGCTGCAGCCCTCCATCCTGCGGGAGCTCAGCGAGGAGGTGAGGCCGCAGCCCGCAGCGCCTCCCCAGAGCGCGGCCCCGGACCCCGTGGGCCCCTCGCCCGGGCCCCGGGCGTTCAGCGCGGCCGCGGCTGCAGACCCCCTCTCCCCACTGCGTTCCAGCACAACCTGCTCCCCCAGCCTCCCCGGAGCAAGTATATCCACCCGGACGACGAGCTGGTCTTGGAGGACGAACTGCAGCGCATCAAACTGGACGGCGCCATCGACGTGTCCAGGCTGGTGACAGGTGGGGAGCGGGAAGGGGTGGCGCCCCGCGTGGGAGGTGTCGGGCCTGCCCCCTCTGCCCGAAGGCAGTGACCGGGAAGCGGGTCCTGAGTGGGAATTCCCCAGCACGGCAGAGGCCTGGCGGGCTTGGCCGTGTGCGTGAGGACAGAGGCGGTCCCTTGGGCCCCCCGCACCCCCGGGCCTGACGCTGCTGTCCCCAGGGACGGTGCTGGCCGTGCTGGGCGCCGTGGGGGACGATGGCCGGTTCCTGGTGGAGGACCACTGCTTCGCGGGGCTCGCACCTCAGACGCCGGCGCCCCCCCTTGACCTGGACAGGTGAGCAGGTGCCCGGGCCCCGGGCAGCACGGTCCCGGCGGCTCCGTGTGGCCCACCTGGGGCGGCCGTCTGCTGCGGCGGCCCCAGGAGGTCCCCGACTTCTCCTGCAGGTTTGTGCTGCTGGTGTCCGGTCTGGGCCTGGGTGGAGGCGGGGGCGAGAGCCTGCTGGGCACCCAGCTGCTGGTGGACGCGGTGACGGGGCAGCTGGGGGACGAGGGGGAGCAGTGCAGCGCCGCCCGCATCGCCCGGGTCATCCTCGCCGGGAACCTCCTCAGCCACAGCACCCAGAGCAGGGACTCCATCAACAAGGTGCGCGCCCACCTGCCTCGCAGCCCCTCCACCCCCTGCATCAGGGGCAGGGTCCCCGGGCCTGGTGGGCAGCGCTGGCTGCAGTGCTGGGACCGCCTGTGCGTGGGGCCCGGCCTGGCTCCGGCCCCGCTTCCCGCCCCCGCGGGGAGGGCTTGGCTCTGCTCCCAGCCCGGGGGTCCGGGTCAGGGGCGCAGCGTCCCCCTGGGCCGCCGCGTGCCCGGGGCCTCACAGCGCGTGTGGGCTCTACTCCTAGGCCAAGTACCTGACCAAGAAAACCCAGGCAGCCAGCGTGGAGGCCGTCAAGATGCTGGACGAGATCCTCCTGCAGCTGAGTGTGCGCTGGGGGCTGGCGGGGCGGGGGCGCCTGGAGGGCACCGGGAGGCAGGCGGGCGGGCTCCTCTGGGACCGTGCGGAGGGCACCAGGCCCTGAGACCCCCTGCCCCGTGCCCTCCAGGCCTCGGTGCCCGTGGACGTGATGCCAGGCGAGTTCGACCCGACCAACTACACGCTCCCCCAGCAGCCCCTGCACCCCTGCATGTTCCCACTGGCCACCGCCTACTCCACACTCCAGCTGGTCACCAACCCCTACCAGGCCTCTATCGACGGGGTCAGGTACCAGCACAGGCACACGCCAGCCTCTGGCGTTGGGCGGGGAGAGCTAGGGGGTCCAGGACTGCGGAGAGCCCACCTCAACTGGCCTCTTTCCCAAGGCGGCTGGGGACACCCCCACGAGAGTGCCCGGTGGGCTCCGGGCGGGCTTTGGGAAGAGCGTGGGGGTCAGCCCCACGCGCACGCCCCCCACCCGGCGGGGGGTCAGCTGTGCCTCGCCTTGCAGGTTCCTGGGCACAGCGGGACAGAACGTGAGTGACATTTTCCGGTACAGCAGCATGGAGGACCACTTGGAGATCCTGGAGTGGACGCTGCGCGTCCGTCACATCAGCCCCACCGCCCCGGATACCCTGGGTAACGGACCGGACCCCGACACGCCGGGTGGGGCCAGAGACCGGGGCGGTGCTGGGGGGCCCCGGTGTGGGTTTTCCCTGGGCCTGTCTGAGGTAAAGCCGCCAGGGCTCGAGGCCGCGCTGGCTGCCCGGGAGACGAAGCCCACACTCAGCTGCAGGCCCTCCCCCAGGCTGCTACCCCTTCTACAAGACCGACCCCTTCATCTTCCTGGACTGCCCGCACGTCTACTTCTGTGGCAACACCCCCAGCTTTGGCTCCAAAATGATCCGAGGTGTGTTCTCTCTCCTGGGGGCCCCTGGCCTGGGCTGCTGCAGGGGACATGCTCGTCGTGGGGGCCAGGCTCCCAGAAGAGATGCCCGCACGGAGCCCCAGGCCCACCTGGCGCTGGCTCGCCAAGTGCGCCGACCAGGGCTGACGCCGTCCCCGCCGACGGGGTGATCTCAGCTTACCTCTGGTCGGCGTCCCCTCAGCCTTTGACCTCTCTGGTGTGGGCAGCCCTTTCCTGATGCAAAGGCGCTGTGCAGCCAGTGTGCCCATGGCGCCAACGTGAGACCCCCATTTGCTTGTGGTAACTCCCTGGGAGACAGGCCTCGCTGGCCTCTCAGGCGGGTCCCCCCACGCTCCTTTGCAGGCCCCGAGGACCAGACGGTGCTGCTGGTGGCTGTGCCGGACTTCAGCGCCACGCAGACGGCCTGCCTCGTGAACCTGCGCAGCCTGGCGTGCCAGCCCATCAGCTTCTCAGGCTTCGGGGCGGAGGACGACGACCTGGGAGGCCCAGGCCCCTGAGGCGGGGCCCCAGCCGCTGTCCCTGGGGCGCCAGCGCTGGCGGCTTGTCTTTGTAAATAAAGCCTGACCACGAACGGGTGTTGATCTCTGGGCAGACCTGGGGCTGGGCGAGCCCCTCCTGTGGAGGGGGCGCACACGGCCAAGTCTCCCCCCTGCTGCCCTCCCCCGGCTCAGAAGGCCTGCGGTCGGCGACGCGTGTGCCATGAGCTGGTTTATTGGTGTGGCCTGGGCGGCGGTTGAGAGGCCTGCCCCCGCCCGCCGTCAGCGGTGCGTCCTCTGAGGCCGGCAGGAGGCCCAGGGGCCAGGCAGACCCTGGCTCAGGTGTTGGTGACATTCGTGCCCACACCAGGGGGCTTCCGTGTGCTGATGGCTGCTGAGCTGGCCCTGTGACCTGACCGCTGGCGCGGGCCGGCATTTTCAGACCTGTTCTCAGAAGTCCCCAAAGTTCACCGTGTAGGTCTCCACCGTGGTGAAGGGGAAGTCCGGGCCCGTGACCACCTCCTCCTCCTCCTCCTCCTCCTCCTCCCTCTCCTCCTCGGGCCCCAACTCGGTCCCAAACTCTGTCACCACCTCCGTGTAGGTCTCGGTCTCAGTCTCCTCCCAGTCGGCCGTGGGCTCGGGTAGGATGCGCCAGGGCCCCAGGGTCGGGGTGGGGGTGGGGGTGGGAGCGTGGGCCGGGGAGGAGGTGAGGTTGGGCGTGGGCAGCAGTGTGGGGGGCAGCGCGGAGGTGGCCGTGGCGGCGGGGCCCGCGGTGGCGTTGAGCCGGCGGAGCCGCATCTGCTCGCGCATGCGCAGCCGGTACTGCAGGCGCCGCTGCTGCAGGCGCCGCTGCTGGGGCGTCATGGGGCGCGAAGGGTCGATGCGCAGGATGGGCCGGTTCCCGTTCATGGCCAGGATCTCCCGGATGCGCTTCCAGTTGGAGCGGGCCAGGATGAAGTTGCACTGCGTGGCCCCGATGTCATAGTCCACGTTGCAGGTCTTGGCGCTCGGCGTGTAGCCCTCCGCCTGGGCCGTCACCCGGTACTCCCCGGGGTTCAGGATGCGCCAGTAATCGCCGCCTCCGGCTGCGAGGGGGGCAGGGTCAGTGGTCCGCGGGCCCCCTCCTGGCCCCAGCCCCCCTCTGCCTGGGGCAGGCCCTGGATCCTCTGCGGAGGCGTCGAAGGAATGACACCTGCTGGCTCAGGCCCGGGCTCACGTGCCAAGACCAGCAGAGATTTGGGCCCCCGCCCGGGTTAGCGGGGTGGCGGTGTGCGCATAGGTACCTGTCTTCACACCGTGGTTAATGCCGCTCACGGAGATGGTGGCATTGGCAATAGGGATGCCTTGTTCATCCGTCACGACCCCCTTGATGCCGCGGTGAACCTGCAGGAAGGGGGTGACGGCAGTGACCCGGGCGGCCGCCCCTGCCCTGTCCAGGCCCCTGGACCGGAGTCCCCTGGGACCCTGCTGCAGCCCCTCCCGGCCCCGCCGAGAGCTGCGCCCGCCCCCCCCGACCCTCCCCCACGGCGCCCACCTGCTCCATGAAGGTGAGCAGGGCCTCCTTGTTGTTCTCCCACTCTCGGGGCAGCTCGCTCTCGTGAGGGAACTTGTCGCAGCCCAGGTAGATGGAGAGCTCCAGGCAGTTGGTGTGCAGATAGCTGAAGTCGTTGATGGCTGGGGGGGGGGGGGGGACCGTCAGCCCCGCCCCGCCCCGCCCCGCCCCGAGCGCCCGGCCGCGGCCCCTCCCCAGCCGACTCACTCCCAGATCGGGGGTTCCACTTGGCCCCGTTGACGATGCCCATGCCCCCGGTGTGGTCCTGCGCTTGGCACCCTCCCCGGTAGGGCTCGGTCATGGTGAGGTGGGTGGAGGCGAAGGAGATGGCCAGCCAGCGGAAGATGGCGTGGTCCGGGGTCTCCTGGGCCTCGGACACCTCGTCCTCGTCCTCCCCGCGGGCGGCTGCCAGGGCCGCGGCCCGCATCTGCTCCTGCGTGGGCGTGCGCGCCATGTCGTAGGGGTAGGACACCAGCCGCTCGCCGCCGTTCAGGTTGGCGCCCAGCACAAACGGGTACTTCTCCATCCAGGCGATGATGGCCCGCACCTCCGTGGACACCTGCGGGCGGGCTGTGTGAGGCCTGGGGGCAGCTTCTACTGCCTTCCCCGGAGCCCCGAACTGGCCCCGCCCGGTCCCTCCGTCTCGCCACCGTCCATGCCCAGAGCGCCAGGGCGCCTGCCGCCGCTGCCCCCAGGCCCTGCTGGCCAGGCGGTGGCCTCACCGTGGCGTCCGGCGAGAGGTAGCGTTCAGGGATGGGCAGGTTGTTGTTGGGCACCCGGTAAGGGACCCACTTCCTCTCCTCAGCTCCCCAGAGCACGGAGTTGAGATCTGGGAAGTCCTCATAGATGTCGAAGCCCTCCTCCGTCCACAGCCCCAGCGCCCAGTTCCCAAACTCCGAGCCCTGGGGGCGGGGGGGGGGGCTGTCAGTGGAGGGCGGCCTGGCCCCGCCCCTGCCCCCACGGGCCTGCGCCGGCTGCGCCGGAGCCCCTGCACCCACCGTCTGTGCGGCCACCTCGTAGCCGTCCGGGTTCAGCGAGGGCACCAGGTGGATGCGCGTGTCGTGCACCAGGCTGCGCACGCGGGGATTCCCCGCCCGGTACTCGCGGCACAGGTACTGCATGAGCAGCAGCAGCAGCTCGCGGCCCAGCACCTCGTTGCCGTGGATCCCAGCTGTATAGCGGAACTCGGGTTCCCCTGCGCAAGGGCGGGAGCCTCAGCCGCCGCTCAGCCTCCCGAGGCCCGGGAGATCCAGGGAAGGACCGAACTGGCCTCTTCACTGCCGGGGCTGGCGGCGGCTGAGGCTCGTCGGGCCGGCAAGGCAAACGGGGACCCCCAGAGGAGCGCCAAGGCAGGCGGAGGTGGGGAGTGGGCACCTCCAGGGCAGGCTACGCTGCAGCGGGGCCTCGCCTCTGATCTGGGGGCGGGGCCAGGCGCCCAGGCCGGGGCCTCACCCAGCTCGTGGTCCCCGGGGTTGTCGGAGATCTCCATGGCGTAGATCTTCAGCCCGCGGGAGCTCTTCCCCAGGCTGTATGTGCGGGTGACCGTGGGGCACTCCTCATTCACCACCTTCATCAGCTGCAGGGGAGGGGGCACCGGTCACATGGCCCCCGCTGCCCCACTGCCCAGCAGCCAAGGAGAAGGCGTCTGGGTGGCTGGCGCGGCCCCTGCAGAGAGGCCCAGCCCCTTGGCTCAGGGCGGAGAGTGTCCGGGGCCAGCCCCCCAGGCGGCCATGTCTGGGATGGGAGCAGAACGGAGCCAAAGCGAGGTCCTGCTAGCCTCGTGCCTGAGCCGGGGACAGGGCGCCCTGCCCTGGGAGGGGCCCCACCTGGCGCATGTCCTTGTAGCTGTGGTGCCGGAAGTCCAGGTTGTCGGTGGCGACCACCTCGTTCTGTGTGTAGTAGCTGTGGACAGCTGAAGAGGGCGGGCGGGCAGGGCCCTGAGCTGCTGGCCACCAGCCCTGCGCTGGCCGCCCCCCTGCCCGCCCCCTACCCCCCCCGCCCCACCCCCGGCACTCACGGGACACGGGGCAGCCCAGCACCTCCAGGCGCATGCACTGGCTGCCGTTCCAGGTGAGCGGGTACACGCGGATGAAGCGGGCTACCACCGGCTCCGGGAGCTCGCTCAGCACGGGCGTGTCCTTGTCCACGTTCCCGTGGAAGGTCTGGGGAGAAGCAGGCCTCAGAGCAGCGCCCCACCTGGGCCAGCACAGCTGTGGCCCGGACGCTGGGGGCTGCACGGCGCACAGGTACCCACCATTTCCTCGTAGCCATTGGTGTACATCACCCATGTCTGGCTGTCGTTGCTGAAGCCCACGAAGAAGGAGGTCACAAAGTCGTCGCTGGGGAGTGGATGGCGGTCAGTGGTCAGGGCGAGGCTGGTCTCCAGCCCAGGCCTCGGGCCCTCAGCTGGCCTTCCTGGGCCCAAGAACTGGAGGGCTAGTGGTGCCGGCATGGCCATGGACGGGGGTTTGCTTATCTGGACGCTGCCATGGCCGAGAAGGAGGCTGGGGCCCCGGGGGGCTCACAGAAACATCTCCGATGGGACTCAGAGCCGGGCTGGGACGCACCCCCCGCCCCCCGTGCCTGGGAGCCCACGTACTGGAGGCTGGAGTCGCGGCCCTGGGTGATGATGCCGGTGAAGCGGGTGGTCCTCCGGGTGTCCACCTCGATCCACTGCCTCTGGGCGTCGTCCTCGGCGCACCAGGCCCCATCGTAGTAGTCGTCCTCGGAGGCGCCAGCCTGCGGGGCAGGTGGGGGCTCAGCGGGGGCGCGGCCGGCCCGCGGGGGAGGGCCTGTCCCAGCACCCACCTGCATGTTGAGGCGGCCGCGCTGGGCCCCCAGGCCGTGGCGCAGCATGGAGGAGGCCCGGATCTGGTTGTCCTCGATGCGGTGCGACTCCATGCCAATGGGGGGGCACTCTGGGGACACGGCACCCGGGCTGGTGGCCCGTGGCTCCACTCCCCCTCCACCCCACTCAAAACCGGGGCCCCAGAGCCTCCTCCCAGTCCACACGCAGCCCAGGGGCGTCGCTGGCCCCAGCTCCCTCGCTCACCTTCTGCCCCCAACGCGCCCCCGGCCCCTCACTCACTGACTTTCTCTGCTGGAGCCCATTCCTCTGCCTCCTCGCCCTTCCGGGGCCCTGGGGCAACAACGGGAGGACTCGGTGCCAAGGGCCCTGGAGCAGCCAGGTGTCCAGCTGCTGGGCCACCAGGACCCAGGCTGTGGGCCCATCCGCCCACCCCAGGCCCGCACCTTTGTGGTCCTTGCCCTTGTCCAGCGTCCATCCGTCATCTGTCTCCTCCTTGGGGCTGCTGCCCTCCTTTTTGGGCTTCTCTGAACAGTGGGAGGGCCTGTCCCTTAGCCCTGGGCTTGAAGGGGCTTGTGGGGGCACAGGCTGAGCGGGGGCAGGTTGGTGGAGGTGGGTGGGGTGGGGCTGCAGGCGTGGGGGCAGCAGCAATTCACTCACTCAGCTCCTCCTTCTCTTCGTCTGTCTCCAGCCTGGTGTCCGGCTTCCGGGGGCTGGGAGGCCGGAAGTAATAGTCCACTGGGGGAGGGAGAGCCTGCTGAGACGGCCGAGGCTGCCCTGGGCCCACGGCGCGAGCCAGTGCTCCAGGCGCCCACGGCTCAGTGGCCGGACTGGGCGGGCGTGGGGTCCGTGGGCGTGGGGAAGCCACAGGGCCCCCGAGAGGCCTCTGGGGCTCAGATGGGCTGGGAGACCCCAGGGAAGTCAGCAGCCCCGCCCAGTGGGAGGGCCGGCCTGGGGACGGCTGGGCTGGGCAAGGAGGGGGACCGGGAGGACACTCTTCGAGTGACAAGTGGCACCAGGGGCCAGGAGGGGGTGGTGATGAGGGCTGAGCTGGGGTCAAGGGTCGGAGGGGTTGATGGGGCAGGGAGAGGGCAAGGACACAGGGGGCGGGAGGAGGCCACTGGGGCTCAGAGAGGAAAGGTCAGGGCAGGGTGGGGGGCGAGGGGCTGAAGGAAGAGCAGAGTCAGAAGCCGGGAAGGTGGAGGGAGGCCGGGCCGGGCACGGAGGGCACCCGAGGGCGGCACCGCTGGCGGCACGTGGGGACGTCAGGGCCCCTGCCACCAGGCTGGCCCTGTGATGAGGGCGGGGGCAGGGCACTCACTGTTGTCGTAGTCGGGGATCACGGAGCCACCCCCGTAGTCGGGGGGCGGCAGGGGCGGCAGGGGCTTCAGAGGCGGCTCTGCGGAGGCAGGAGGCGGGTGGGCAGGCAGCCTCTCGCCGGCCGGCCCCTCCCCCTCCGCCCCGTCCTACCGGTCCGCTCCTTGTCCTCTGGGGCCGTGACCCCCTGCGCTGGGCGCTCGGCCTTCTCCTCGAGGTGCTCAGGCCGGGGCCTCTCGGGCCTCCTCCTGGGGGGCGGCCTGGGCTGCTTCTGGCGCCGGATGTACTCAACTGGGGGAGAGGACGGGGGAGGGCCGGTGGGGTGCAAGCGGCAGGGCTGGGAGGCGGGCCGGGCAGGGGCCGCACGGCGGGGTGGGGGGGGCCCTTACTCACAGTCCTCGTAGTCCTCCCTCTCTATCTGGTCGTTGTAGTCCAGCGTGGGCTGCTCTGTCTCCTCCTCTGGCTCTGGAGGGAAAGCTAGTGGCTGCCTCGTTGAAGACACTCACCGGCACCCGCCCCGGGCACCCTGGACACCCAGCAGGCCCAGGCGGCGGGTCTCCCAACCAGGTGGGTGCCGCCCACTCACCAGGCTGGCGCTCCACACGGGCCTCTGCTCCGGGACGCTGCCAGGGACTTGGGGGGGCCCCGCCTGCAGCACAGACCCCCGTGCAGAGGGATGGGCGGCTCGCGCTGACCACAGGCCGCTCCGGGCGCCCCCACCGCAGCCAGGCCCTGCTGACCGCCCCCCGAAGCCGCAGCTCGCTCCCAGGGCCGGGCCGCCGGACGGGCGGCCTGGGGAGCCCAGGCCCTGCCCCAAAGCTGCCCCAGCAGAGGGGCCCCTTGAGGCTCCAAGTCCAGCAACACCTGGGCGGTGGCTCTGGGCAGACTCCAAGGGACAGACACCAGGACAGTGGAGAGCAAGCCCCCCAGGAAGGCCCCCAGCCCCCCAATGCCCCACCCAGCGCCCTGAGGGAGCTCCAACTCAACTGCCGGGGGACCCACTAGGGACCCACCCTCCCTCCTTGCTCCCCGCAGCCCGGTAGGGCAGAGCCCACGCCAGAAGAGCAGACACACACCTTCCTCCTGCGGCGGCTCCTCGAAGGGGGGGCTGAGGGGAGGGGGCAGCGGCCACCATGGGGCTTCTGAGGGGGCCAGGGTGGGGAGCCTCTTCCCAGTCGGAGGCCTCTTGGTGGTCTTGGGTGGCTTCTCCTTGGGCCTCTTGGTGGCCTGGGGTGGCTTCTCCTTGGGCCTTTTGGTGGCCTGGGGTGGCTTCTCCTTGGGCTTCTTGGTGGCCTTGGGTGGCTTCTCCTTGGGCCTCTTGGTGGCCTTGGGTGGCTTCTCCTTGGGCTTCTTAGGTGGCCTGGGGGTTCCCTCCAGCAGCTTCTTGGTCACCTTGGGGCCTTTGTCCTTCTTCCCTTTCTTCCCTTTGTCTTTGGCCTTCTCTGGAGGTGCTGCCCAAGAGGCGGAGGTAGGTCCCATCAATGGAGAGCCCACTCTGTGCCCCCCATGGCCCCCAAAGCCTGGGCACTGGGTCGTTTCCCAGGTCGGGAAACTGAGAGGTTAAGTCACTTGTCTCAGTGACGCATCTTGGCTCCGGGCCTACAGACCCACCCTCACCGGGTGGCCCAGCTCCCACCCGTGGGCTCTCGACCTCCCAGTTGTCCCTGTTGAGGAACAGAGGCCCTTGCAGTGCCCCCTTCCGGACAGGCCCCTCGGCCAGTCAGGGAGCTATGCTGTGCTGGACACGGGACGCACCCAGGCGACTGAGCCATGCTGGTCTCAGTGGGGGCACCCCAGCCTCGAGGGGGTGGCAGTCTCCTCCCTGCCAACTGCCCCGCAAAGGAAAGTGCGTGGGGCGGGGCCGACCTTGCCCACCAGTGCCCTGGACCTCAAGCTTCAGGGGTCCAGGGCACTGGTGGGCAAGGCCCTGCAGAGGAGGAAGGGGTCTGGGGTGGTTGGAAGCTGCTTCCAGCGGGTCCTGGGCCGCTCAGGGACGAGCACAGGCGGCAGGTGCAGGTGGCTGCTCATCCGTGCCAGTGCGGGGCAGGGAGCGGGAGTGAGGCTGGGCACGTCACGGGGTCGGGCCAAGTGGGGAACCCAGGAAAGTTCCTGGAAGGCCAACCCAGCCCGGCGGACTCAAGTTTTCCCAGCAACGCCCGAGAGGCCAGGACCGCGGGTCCGGAGTGTGAGCTGGGGGTGGGGGAGGCCCAGCGGGTCCCAGGACCGGCCCCCACCCCGGGGCGGGGGAGCCACGAAAGCTCTGGAGTTGGGGCAGGGGCTGCTGGCCCGAGGAGCGAGGAGTGGTGGCCGGAGTCTCGGGAGAGGGATCAGCCAGACCCTTGCCACCCGCCCCAAGGCACACAAGGCAGCTGAGGCACTGACGCTGGTTGCGTAAGAGGCTGGACAACATGCTTCGGGGATGTATCATCTCCTTGCGCTCTGGCCACAAACCCTGTGGGAGGGGGTCTCCTTCCTCTGTGCCCTGGGAGCGGGGCGGTCGGAGGGACCGGGGAACCTTCCGCGGTTGCTGAGGCTCGACTCTGGCACTGACTGCGGCACAGCCAGCGTGGACCACGGACGCGCTGAGTGGCCCGCCAGGGCGGCAGAGCCATTCTCAGCACCGACCGGGGGAGGGGGCAGCAAAGTGCCGCCCGGGGCCAGTGTGTGCTGGGAACGAGGGACGTCGGGCGGTCCGGGCAGCGGACCTGCCTCGTGAGTCTCCGTGCCCACAGGGCTACAAGCCAGCATGGATTGCGGCCTGGCACAGTGTCCGCCAGACATCTGGGCAGTCCCGTGCCTTACAGAGCCACTCAGCCAGGCAGACTGGACAGTGGCCAGCCCCTGAGGAGGCCCGCCATTCTCACCTGAGGTGCGGGGCGCCCCGAGGCTCCCATCAAGCCAGGGCCACCCCTGCCCGGCTCTTACCCTCTCCGGCCACCCCTACGCGCGCCCCCGGCTTGCCCCCGGTCTGGGCTTTGCGGCTGCGCAGGGTGGGCTCAGGGGGCGGCGGGGGCTCCAGGTCGTCCTCCCGGGGCTCGAGCTCCAGCTTAGACAGGAAGCCCTCGAGGAACTCCTCGATCTCGTCGTCCGTCAGCACCGTCTGCGGGCGCCCCCCGGGGCACAGCGCCAGCAGCGCCAGGAGGAAGCCAAGCAGGGGCGCCCCCCGCACAGCCGCCATGGCCGCGGCACGCGTGGGGGGCAGGGGGCCGGGGCCGGGGATGGGGAGGGGCTCGGGAGGAAGCCGGGGTGGGGCACGGGGTCTCCGAGGTGAGGCGAGGGAGGAATAGGGGTGGGCGCTGGGGGCTCCGGGGTGGGGCGCGGGAGCTGCGGGCCGGGCAGTGGCTCAGGGGTCGGTGGGGACGCAGGAGTGGCAGGGGATTCCGAGGGGCTGCGGCCGCTGGGAGCTCCGGCCCCGCGTGGCGCGCTCTGGTGCGCACCGCCCTCTCCAAAGCTCCAGTGGCGGCCGGGGCGGGGGCGTCGGGGCTTCCGGAACCGGCTTCCCCACCCCGGGGCAGGAGGAGGAGGAGGTAGAGGAGGAGCTGGGCGTGGACGGAGGGTCTGCGCGGGGGGTGGTGCCGAGCAGCGGCTCCCCACGCTTGGCACTTCCCGGAGCGGGGACGGGGGGCGGTGTCCCGAGCTGGAGGCCTGGGGGGAGGGAGGGTCGGAGTGAGTGGGAAGTCCCGCGGGTGCGTTCGCAGCACCTCCCTCCCTCCAGCCAGCCGGGACTGGGGCGCGAGATGCCTCCGAGCCCCCTGGAGGTGACTAGGAACGCAGGTAGGGGAGCCAAGCCGGGGCTGTGGCCTCCGGGACCCTCCCTATCTCAGCCGCGAGGAGTCTTGAGGGTACCGGCCCAGCCCGTGTTTCCTTCTCTCTGGACGGGCAGGTCTGCTGTGCAGACCTCCAGCCGGCCTCCTAGGCCCAGGATGAGCCGGGCCTGAGCCTCCTCCGGGGCCTTGGGAACCCAGGCTCCACTGGGCTGAGAGCGAAGCGGCCGGGGGCAGGCTGGCTGCTCTGCTGGGGGCAGGAGCCCCAGGTAAGGCACCCTTCCTGCCCGGCTCCTGGCACACCGGCCGGTTTGGAGAAGGGCAGGGGTGGAGCAGGTTGGGAGGAGATTCTTTTTAACGAGCTGTCAGTGTAAGTCACAGGAACAGGCTCTCAGGGGTATGGAGATGTCCATGCAAGTGTGAGGGTGTCTCGTGCACCCCTGCACTCCCAGCCACCGAGGGAGGGTGCCCAGACCCCGACTAAGAACCTGTCAAGGAGGCGCGGGGCAGCAGCCTGCTTCTCTGGCCTCTGAAGCAGACGGCCCAGCCTCGGGCGAAGCCAGGTGAGACCCGGGCCGGCTGGAGGGGCCGCACCAGTGAGCTCAGCCCTGCTCACTGGGAGACGTGGGGCCTCAGGAGGAGGCCAGGCGCGGCCCCCAAACAAGACCCGCTGGTGAGAGGGCGTGCGCCTTCAAGCCGAGGAAACAAGCGCCGGACGCACTGCAGGGAGCAGCCGCGCGCCACCCAAACAGGCGCAGGTCCTGACCCCACCCCCGCCGTTTCTTTTACTGTTTCCCCACCTTGGTCACTGCCTCCCCCCAGGCACCCGCTGCTTCTCCACCAGCTGAGGTGCCGTGCAGCCCTTGTCCCCTTCCTCTCTGCCTCCAGAACGCGGCTCGCAGGCCCGGCCACCCCGGGCCCCGCGTGGCCCTGGCCAGCCTGAGCGGGCGGAGGCCAGGGCTCGGTGCGGGGGCTGCCGCTCAGCTGGGCCTGGGAGCCGCGCCCGGGGCTTCACTTCCTCTTGCCCCTGTTCCAGGCCGCCCTTCGCTTCCCACTGGCCCAGCCTGTGTCAAGAGCTGGGCCCCCCAGGGCCTCTGGCTGCAGCATCACCTTCTGCTCCTCGCCTGTGTCCCCAGCCCCGGAGGTGCAGGTCCGGCGGGTCCTGCCCGGGCTGTGCCTAGTACAACTTCAGCTCCTGTTCCCCCCGGGAGACAAGCGCCCCCGTGGGGCTCGGCCCCCAGCAGGCCTCCCGGCCCTGCCATGTGTCCCGAGCGGGGCTGCCAGCAGGCAGGCGGAGCCAGCCCTCCTCCATAAATGGCCTCTGTGAGCCTGGAATTCGCTCTCCAGCCCCCAGCTGAGTGAGAAGCGGGGAGGCCAGAGGCTCTGGGGCGTCACTCCCCTGCGGAGGCCAGTCCCACTGGCTCACACATGGATCAGATTTGGGCCCGCGTCCTCTGCCAGGGAAAATAGAAGCCATGAGAACACCAGGAAGGGGTAGAAAGAACCTTTCCCTCACCAGTGAGTCACCGCCAGGAACAGGAGCGGCGGCCTCGTGCTGGTGCTGGGCCTGGGGCTGTGGCGGGCCGGGAGTGGGGCCGGGAGCGGGGCCCTGCACCCTGAGGGTCTGGGGTGGCTGCTCGCCACGCAAGGTCGAACCCCTCCTGGGGGCGTGGAGCTGGGGCCCAGCTTAGCTTTAAGGCCGTACCTGGATGCGCCTCAGGCCTGGGCTGGGGCTGGGTCCGGGCACAGCCGGGCAGCCAGGACACCCTGTGGCTCCCTGGGCAAAGCCGCCAAGCGGGCAGGCAGGCGGGGGGCCGGGGGGGGGGAGGCCCACGCCTCCTGTGGCTGCTGCTCCTACTTCCAGGGTCTGGTGCCCCCCCCAGGCAGGGCACCGGTGTGCACGTCGAGCCCTCTCTGAGCTAGTCTCGGGGTCTGTGGGACACCCTAGGGAGGCCCCTCCAGGTTCCCCTCCCTGCACTGAGAATCTGCTGGGGGGGCCACAGCAGGACTGGGCATGACAAGGGGACGGTGGCAGGTCACCCAGGCGGGTCCCCCCCAACGACTTCTAGAGCGGGGAAGGAGGGCTCTCGGGGGAGCCGGCCATGGGCCGGGCGGGTGCGTGGCCTCCCTGCGGCTGGGGGGGACGAGGCCTGCAGAGCCCCCTGATACACAGCGGCGGCAGAGAGGGCGTGGCCTGCACGGTCCCCGCCCCCCAGGGCCAGCGCTGCCCGCCAGGGTGGGGCTCCCACCAGGGCAGGGAGCAGGGTCGCCTCCGAGGGCGGTGGAGGGGTGTGGAGGGCAGGGCACGTAGAGGCCCTGCAGGCTGGGGGGGCACATCGTGGAGGCAAAGCTGAGAGGGCCGGACACCGAGGCCACTGTGCCTCCTGCCCCAGAGGGAGCCAGAAGCTCCCACAGTGGGAGGGGGAGGAGCTGGATTGGGAGGGAGCAGGAATGGAACCCACCGCCTTCCCGCTGAGGCAGGGTCAGTCCCCTGGACAGCGGGCAGGGAGCCACCTGCTGGGACAGCCCCGCCCCCACCGCGCCGTACCCCAGGGGACCCTGTGGGAGACCCTGTGGGCCGCCAGGCAGCGTCGAAACCTGCTTCCTCCCCCGGTCCCAGCAGCCTGTCCCGAGGACGAGGACGCGCAGAGAACAACCCCTCCCGTCAGCTGGGTGCGGGGTCCTGCAGTGGACCCTCTGCCCGGCCGTGGAACCGGAAGGCCGGGCGCCCATGCTGCCGGTCACCACCAGAGCCGATAAGCAGAGATGAGGGTGGAGTCTCTGTGGGCGCTTTGTTCTGATGCTGGCGACCTGGGAAGACGGGGCCGTGCGCCCTCACAGCCGTCTTAACGGCTGGCTCCCCTCCAGCTGACCTTCTTCACGAGGAGTTTGGAATTCAGCGGAAAGGCAATCAGATAAAAGCTGAGTCCGGTAATTTCCGCACCCGTCTCTCGCCGACCTGTCTCCCCGGAGCACAGTGGCTCTGACACCACCCGAGCCCGTGCGCCCTCCTGGGGCCCAAAGGTGGGGCTGCCAGTGCCCCGGGGCCGGGGTGGACCCCAGCCTCTGTTCCTGTTCCCCCACAACAGCCTTCTCCCTTCGTGAAGCACTAAGCCAGTCAACTACAACTAAAGCTGAAGTACCTGAACTCCAGTGCCCCCGACAATTGGGGGAGTCGCAGCTGCTTCGCTGCACAGGCAGCTGGCGCCGGAGGCGATGCTGGCCAGGGCCTTGGGAGGCCGGGGCGTCGGCCCCACCCCAGCCTTCCGCTCCGGGAGGCTGCGAGGCCTGGGGCCTGATCCCGGCACCTCTGTCTACCCCTGTCCAGGGAGTGCAGGGCCCCTGCAGAGCCATGTCCTGAGCCCCAGGCGGCCTCTCCATAAAGACCTGCTCCCGGCCCCGGCCGGTGGGGCTCAGGGGACTGAGCGCCGGCCTGCAATCCAAAGGGTCGCTGGTTCGATTCCCAGTCAGGGCGCAGGCCTGGGTTGCAGGCCAGGTCCCCAGTAGGGGGTGCATGAGAGGCCACCACATGTTGATGTTTCTTTCTCTGTCCCTTTCCCCTCTTTGAAAATAAGTACATAAAATGCTCTTTAAAAAAAATAAAAAGGCCCTCTCCTGACCCCACACGGGCAAGAGCTGCATCGGTCTGGTCTCTCAGGAAGGGAGCCCTTCCCTGTTAAAGGTCTCAGCGGAGGCCGCTGCACCCACGGACACCACATCTCTGCTTCCTGAGTCGCAGGCCATCCTGCCAAAAACTGCCACCTATTGCATGTCACTGTGGCTGGAAAGTGTGCTATCTCAGCACCCTCCACCCTCCACCCCCAGTTCCCAGCCCTCCCCCCGTGGCACCCATCTCCTTACCTCTGGGTCCCAGGCCACCTGCACAGGTGAGCGTGTGTCCCTCAGGGCTCACTGCGCCACTGGGCAGGTCTTTACAGAGGGCGCTGTCAGGGGGCTGCCCCTGGAGGCCTGCCCAGGGATCTCGCCTTCCCCTGAAGGCAGTTGGAGGGAACAGGAAGTCAGCGACTGGGTGCAGGCACAGAGGGCGCAGGGGAGGGCACCGGCCCGAGAACGCCATTGGCCTGAGGGAGCCGAGAGCTGCCCTGCGGGAGACCTGGCTGCCCGGCTGAGACCCCGGAAATCAGTCTCTGGGACTGCGCCCCGGCCCGTGGGCAGCAGCTGGGCAGTGATTGATGCTCACTGGGCACATGTACCATCCCCCACATCTAAGTGAGGAAACAGGCCTGGCGAGAAGTGATGTGTCCGAGTCACAGCAGGTCCATGGCAGGAAGGGCTCAGGCGAGGCCTCAGAAACTCCCTAGACTCTGGCCTCTGGTGCACGGGCACCGGCAGGAGGGTGCCGCAGCCGGGGTAGGGAGGGAGTTCGCCAGCCAACAGGACCCGCGTGCCTGAGTTCCAGCTGGGGCAGCCCAGGGACCTAAGGGCACAGGAACGGGACCAACGGGAGCGGCAGGGCCTTGGAGGCCCAGAGGAGAGTGTACTGGCCACTCGGGCCTCTGAGGCAGCAACGCAGTCACCCGAGGCCAGGCCACGGTGCGGGGGACGCCACAGTGCTGAGACACCGAGTGGGTCCGCCCGGGGCGCCTTCCCCCGGGCTCTGGACGGCAGGCCTCAGGGTCAGGCCCAGCC